AGAGACTTCTTTGATCTTAGTTGAAGAAAAAAGTCTGTTCTGTTCAGGCTTTTGGCTAACACAACAAACAGTGTTTAAAATTTAACTTTGCTTAATTAATTAGTAATTCTGTTTAATGCTGTCTGATCTCCCTCCAAAAGGTATTTTGAAGCCTGAGAAGGGAACATCAAAGGGAACCGGGTGAAGATGGTCAAGTAATGCATTTAATCTGGCAGTTGCTAGGGGTGGAGAGCAGCCAGGTTGGGAGCTAATGTGGGAGAGGAGCGTCATTTGGTAAACACAGAGCAGACTCCTTGTGGCTGTGTTCCTGGTGTGAGGAAGGACAGGGAGTAGCTTCCAGAAAGAGCTCCACTGCCCCCAGACTCACTTGGACTAAAAATTGATTTTAAGAAAACAGTGTTGATATTTCCTTTTTGCCTGGTCCTCTGTGTATGACGTTGTGTACCACACAAGGGTTTCCAGTCAAGAAAGCAAGTAATCGGTGAAATCCAGTCCACACTGTGCCCATCAGGCACGTAGCCTGGCCCACAGAATTCTACAGATGGCCAAGTAGTGCTTCTTGTAGGCTTTGTGTGCTGTAGGGTTTGTGCTTCGACTACTAAGCTCTGCTGATGCAGAATGAAAACAGTGAGACAGTGTATGAGCATGGCTATGTCCCGATAAACCTTTATTTACAGATAACCTATGGGTTGGGTTGGATTTGAAGGGCATAGCTTCCAAACTCCTGCTCCACGTCATCTGAAGGTACTTCATAGGCAAGTGAAAGGCATTGGTTTCCTCCTTCCTTTGTCCCTTCCCATTCTTTCAAACTGTTTCCTGAAGTACTGTCTTGACATTTGAGACTGCTTAGAGACCCTATGAAATCATGTCCTATGAAAGGTCCTCTGGGGTGTGTGGCTGTGTTGAACAGGACCAAAGCTGGAGAAAGAATGCGGACTCAGTTGCCAGTCTGTCTTGAGGAAATGTCTGTCTTCTATGCTGTGGTTAATGTGGTCTGGGTGGCTTGCAGAGTGCTCTATCCACCCCATACTGCCCACCCGTGAGCTTCTGGGAGAGTGCAGGTCACGGGGATGCAGGGGCATAGCAATTGGCCTTGTTTTCAGAGCTTCCATCTATAGATCACACATAGGGCCCAAGTCCCAGCCCCTGCCTCTGGCATCGGGGTCCATGTGGCTCATGTTGATTTTTGGAGAAGACACAAGGGTTGGGAGTGGGGGTGGGGATGCTACTCTCTGGGCAAGGAGAAAGGAGGGGACAAGAAAGGACTGAGGCTGCTCAGTGCATGGCAGGGGAGGGTGCCCTGTGAGGGAGAGAACAGGGACAGAGGTTCCTTGTCTGTGGGTTTCATCAAGTGGAACATGAAAGGCAACATTGAACCTGAAGGTGCTTTTCTGATAACTTTCCTTTGAACTTGAAGTTTGGCTTCGATAAGCCTGGCTGGATTGTATCTCCAGCCAGGACCTCACAGAGGAAAGCAGCAGCTTTGAAGATGGAACTAGGCTTTGTTTTTCTTTCTTCTTTTTCTTTTTCTTCTTTTACCCCATCAGGGAGGAGTGAATAGAGGATGTTTCAGGCCATGATATCTCCGTGGTTTCTCAGTGTGGTTTCCCTGAGGTACCAGCAATCATCGGATCTGGGTTGTCAGCTGTGACTGTGGCTCGGCTTGGCTATGACAGCATTTATTGAGTGCTTGCTGTGTGCTGGCCACTGCCAAATGAGCAGTTTCTTCATTGCCCTCTCCTAGCAGCTCTGTGAAGGAGACCCTTTGTATTTCATTTTATACACGAGGGGACCAAGGTCCAGAGATGTCAAAGCCTTGCCCACAGCTGCCCAGGCCAGTCGGTGACTGATCAGAAGACAGGAACCACAGGTGTGCCTGCTCAATGGTGACACTCGACAGCTCATCTGTACCTGTGGGAGATGCTGGCAACCTCACTTCATGCTAGGAATGAAGGGAGCTCTAGTTCCCTGGCTCTTTGGAGTAATAGGAATATCACTTGACTTGTGGCCTGGTGGAAGTGGCTGTACTTGGTGTCCTGTCTGGATTCAAGGTGGTGGCAGCTGTGGCCCAGCAGGGTACCAGGTAGCTTTAGGGTAGAGCAGTTAGGGCGGCCCAGGCTCTGTTCTTGACTGGCCTTTGGTCCCTGGCCAGTCATTCAGCTGATCCCTTGCCCCAGGAGCTGGGAACCCTCTGGAGAGGGTGGCTGGCTTTGCAGAATGAGGATTGGGGGAGCACCTCCATATTATGGATAGTATCAGAGCAGACGACATCAGTGCCCTGCCCTAGTGACCATCCCTGTGGTGAGGATGCCAGAGACCTGCCCTCAGCCCTTCCAGTGAGTTTTCCTTTCTGAGAAATCTCAGTCTTTCAGGTTTGTGCTTCACTTGTATCATTCTGTGTCTACCCGCATAGGCCCAGGATCAGTACCTGAGACCTGGGTCCTGACAGGTGTTCCTGAGTGCTTTGGAGAATGTGGCTTTGCCATGTGGGTGCTGAGGAACAGAGGCACCCTGCATGCTGCTGGCTATAGCAGGGGCAGATAACCCAGAGGGCCTGGCTGTCTGGGGAGAGACCCCTGCTTGGAGCTGTGGCCTCCTGTCCCCACCCTGTCTGTGCTGGGAAACTGGAGCACCCTTATCTTTAGCCCCTCTTACTCTCCTACTCCCTGTCCAGCTGGGTGTATTTGATATAATGCTTGTGTATCCATTTGACTGCAGAAGCCTTTGTTTTGAGAAACCAAGTGCCCTGACCCCTAAAAGAGTCACAGGATGTGACTGTTATTCCCCTGACTGTTTCTAGTTGTGGCCAGGACCTTGTGTACTGACCTTGGTTCTTAGCCCTTTGCAGCCATAGCTTGTTGAATCCACATAAGTGCCTCCTGGGAAGAGACTCGGCATCTTCTTTATACCACTGGGGAAATTAAACTGAAACATCTAGGGAAGGTTCAAGACCTTCCTGGAATCACGGTGCTGAACCCCAGCAGAGACAGCCACTCCCCTAGTTCCATGATAAGAGGCCGGTGGAGAGAGGCTTGGGTCCTCTGAGTCAAGCTGAGAGGGCTGTTAGTTGGGGGGATGGTGAGTGTGATTCATGCTACTTAAGTTTATATCCCATCTCTGATGTTTGTTGGCAAAGCCTCTCTGCACCTCACGGGGTCATGGCGGTTACCTCACAGGGTCGTGGTGGAAACACAGCATGTTTGGTTAGTGTTGTATGTGGCTGGCACTGGAGGTGCACAGGGGTACCAGGATTTGCAGGGCACTGTGGGGAGTGCCGCAGATCACCATGTTGGGAAGACACCTTCAACCTGTTGGAGGGGTCAAGCAGGAACACTGTAGCTGTGACCCCATAGAGGACCCCATAGAGTCCCTGCTGTGCCTTCCCTGTGGCTGATGGTCTATATAGCAGGGTGAGTGAGCATAGGGGTTAGGGGATGTGCGAAGCCCCTACCTGGCTTCCTAGCCTGACCCATCATTTCTCCAGGCTCGTGACTGTCTGGGAAAGTCCTCCTGGTCTTCCTGTCTGCTAGGAACATCTCAGCTTCTTGCATAACTCCTTGTATGGCCCTCCCAGCAGCCTAGCCATCCTGAGGTCAGAATGGTGGGGAAGGTCCCTGGAGCAGGAGCACACCAGCTTGTTTATCTGGGAAGGAGGATGACAAGACCACTGCCATGGGGAGCAGAGATACTCTGCCAAGGGTAGCTGTGAGCAGGTTCTGAGAAAGCAAGGCCGAGGGCCTCCTGTTGGCACGTGAGCCACATCCCTGCAGCTGAGCACTGGATCACAGTTTTTAACTAAAACCTCAGTATTCAGGTTTAATTGCAGTACTGGCATTTTGTGATAAGTAACTGGGTTTTGGGTTGCAGTTTGGGCACTCAGTCTCTAAAAGGTTTGCCATCACTGGCCCAGGACAACAGTGCCACCCAGCACTGCCTTCCTAGAACCTCTTGGAAATGATACCATTGTGAAACCTCATGCAGAAGTAGTGCCAGTAGATCATAGGGTTTCACACATCCCTCTGCTCCTGGAAGGATGCAAAACTAATCGTGACCTTTGGACACCAAGTGAACAGAAGCCCAGGCTGAGTGCATTCCCTGAAGATGTTGTGTACGTGTGCGCATCAGCCTGGCTGAGCTGTTTCTGTTCCTCATGTCCCTTGTTAATGTGCCATATGCTGGGCCTAGGCAGGGCCATCTTTGAAGAGGTCAGAACGTCTGCACCGAAAGCAGTGAGACTGTGCAGAAAATGCCCTGGTCCCCACAGTCCCTCTTGTAGTAGGTCCCTGGTGACCTTGTCCATTGCTCTGTGGCTTGATCTTCCTGAGCAGTCATTTGCCTCTGCGAGCACTGCAGTGGTAGGTTGTAAGTTGGAGCAAAGAGTGGGGGTCCATTGGGATAACCTGAGAGACGCATGGGGATGTATCATAAAGAAGATAACGTTAGCTTTGCATTGCTGTGACAAAACACCTGAGATAAACAACTAAAAGGGAAAAAAGTTTATGTTGGCTCCTGGCTTTGAAGGCTTGCGTCCATGGTCCCTAGGGCCTGTGTTGAGCCAGAACAGAATGGCAGATAGCATTGGTGAAGCAGAGCTGCTCACCGCACAGCAGACAGGAGGCAAAGGACAGAGGAAAGGGCAGGAGACAAATACTCCCTTTAAAGGTGCGCGCTCCCTAACTAGGCCTCACCTCCTAATAGCAGGTCTTTGAGATTAGTGCCCTTGTGATACAGTGGCCTCTCAAGGCACCACTGTTGTACACAGCTACATTTGACAAAGCCTTCAACACCTGTGCTTCGGAGACAAACCATAAAGAGGGCCTCCCTGGGGCAGGCCTGCACCATTGCAGGGGCGGAGAACAGGGGGACTTGGATGGCAGCCAATGCGCAGGGCAGGAGTGGTGAGGCTGTCTTCACACCAGACCCTGAGGACAAAGTCACAGCAGTGCCACCTCTGGGCCCACCTTGACATGCATCCTCACTAACACTTCCCATTCATGCAGTGGCCCTGCCGCCTGAGAAGACTGATGGCCTGGGCAGTGGAGATGAGAAGAGGATGGAGAAAGCCAGTGACTCTTGCCCAGCCTCCAAGAAGCAGTTGAAATTTGAAGTAAGTTTTATCTCCTCAGGCCTGAGGAGATAAGTGGATTCTCCTTTGTGGTGTTTGGCCAGGAGAAAGACTGAGGCCTGGAGGGAAGCTCCCCAGCCAGGATACCCCTTTCCTGCATGAAGAGAGGCTCCTCCTGCAGCATCTGGGGTCACTGAGGCCCAGAAAGGCTGTGAGGATTCAGTGCTGCCCCCTTCTCAGCTGGGCACAGGCCACCCCAGAGCATGTGGCTGAGCAGTGACCCAGGAGCCCTGAGGAGGTTATCAAAGTGGATGAGGGGATACAGGACTGCAGCCCTGTTGTGGCTGTCACCTCTCCAACCTCAGTTTCCTTGGTGAAGTGTTCCAGCTCCAGAGGCTGTATGGGCTATGTGGGTCCTCCCAGATGGGGTAGGTGACCGGGAGGCAAGAGGTCCTGGGTTGGTCTCTGACCAGCTATGCCTTAGTTTCCCAATGTAGTCAGCACAAAGGATGCAACCCCAAGCGCTTATGGTCTGTTCAACCTGTCTTGGCCAACCTAAACGGTGGACTCACCCCCTTCTGTGTACCTAGCACAGCCAGGTGCTGAGAGCTGGACCTGGCGGCCTTTGGGGAGCCTGCCAGCAACTCTCCACCCTCCCCGCTTTCCTTCCTGAGTCAGCACAGCAGCTGCATCTTCAAGGCCAGTCTCTTAATGTCCCCCTCACTCCCTCACCAGCACACTACTGCTTAGGTGGAGTGCTGGAGAGGGTGTGCGGCATCAGCAAGGCCAGTGTCGGCGGCCCTGTGGATAACCGAGCACAGGACCTGCCCTCTTAGAGCAGTACTCAGGGGGACAAAGGAGTGACCCAGGCCCAGCACCTGCACACAGTGACAAGGTGGGAACCTATGAGCAGGGACACAGCGTGTCAGGGGGACAGAGTGCAGGATGATGGACACTGTGGAAGTTCTCACTAGTGTCTGGGAGGGCACTGCAGGCAAGGACTGAGCAGGCAATGTGGGTGAGGAGCGTGGGGCAGGACTTGAGGGGCACAACAGCCTTTGGGACAGGAGGGCACTCAGGTGGAGGGAGCAGCAGGGTCAAAGGCTGGCGGCTGGCTCATGGCAGACATGGCAGCTTGTGGCCTGGGAATCACAGCCTACTTGGGGGAGGGGTTGTAGGAAAGGGGGCAAGGACTCAGTGAAGGCCCCGCCTCCAAGAGCTAAGGCAGCATGGCCAGTGTGGAGCTGAGGGCCTAAGGACTCCCCTGTTCTCTGGAGCACAGTCCTGTGCTCAGCCCCACCAGGTCCCTGCAGGATCTTCTGGGAGCCTGACAAAGCCTGCCAATCCCTCAGACGGAAGGCTGAACCCAGGCAGCTGGACCTGGAAGGCCCATTGTGCCTATTTGTGGGTGGCTGGCCAAGTCCAGGGACTAAGCTAGGCCTGAAGTGAGGAGTGCTAGAGAAGCCCAAGTGGGTAAGGTTGGGGCCGAGGCCCGTACTGACAGAGGTGGAGACAGTTGCTCACTTTGGTTTCTGAACTTCAAACCCAAGCCATTTTGGAAACAGGTAAACACTCTGGGTGAATGTGTTGGGCTGTGTGTGGGTGTGCTTATGGGGGTGTATGTGTAGGCACCGGTGTGTGTACATGTGCAAGTGTGTAAGGGTAGGCAAATGTGTAAGGATATACATACGTGTAGGAATGTGTCTAGGGATGCATGTAGATGGGTGTAGGGCTGTGTGCACATAGGGTGTGTGTAAGGGTGTGTGTGCAGACGTGTGCAGGTATGTGTGTATGGAGCACCACGTGAAATGTCTCCTCAGGGAGCAGAGCAAGCACTTGGCAGGTGTCAGAGGGACCTGTCACAACTAAGGGAAGCCAGCTTTGAACTCAGCGTGGGCCACCTGAGAACTGCTAGTGGGAACCAGCTTGAAACTGCAGAAGCCTGGGGCAGGGACACTGTGCTCTGCACAGTCCTGTCACCCCTCAGGGGCTTGTCCTTGCCCTCTGGGGACTGAGCAGCCCATGTGCTGGGCAAGCCAGGGCACCTGCTTCGCTGTGACAGAAGAGGTGGGGTGAGACAAATCAGGGAGCAGTGTGTAATCCTGTGCAGAGAGTTTTGGGATCTTGACTGTCTTTCCTCACATGACCGTCTTTCCTGTCCTATTGGAATCTCCATGAAGTGCTCAGCCAGCCTCTGAATGCAAAGCTTGGGGGATGGAGCACCCATTTCCAGTGCAAGTTCCTGGATTAGACATCACTGGTTGCTGCGAATAATGATAATGAAATTATTGTTGGATTAGCAGACTCTTCTGTGCCCTGGACAGTGTGTCTGGCACTGTCTGGCACTCGGCATATGTCGACAATGCTTCTTGCCTCTGGCTCACCCAGTATGATGCGCATGTCCTTGGGAGGGTCACAGGGAGCAGGTGCCAGGGGCAGGAGGAAGGGAGCCACTGCAGAGCTAGTTGACACATGGATTACTGAGACACTGGCAGGAGGTACCTCCCAGGAGCCCTATAGAATGTACTCAGCTTTGTTACATGGAGGGATTCCTAAGGAGACTCAGCATTTGTTCACAGACTCCTGTCCTTCCCTTGTCTGGTGACCTCTGGACTTTGGATCCCTGGCTCTTGGGAGTGGCCCCTGGGCAGAGAAGCAGGGTGCTTGAGGTTGAATGTTCCTTCCACAGCTGCAGGGAGGCTGCGTGGGGAAGGACTTTTAATCTTCCCCCAAACTTCTTTTTTTTTTTTTTTTTTTTTTTTTGTCTTTTCATCGGTACTGGGGATCGAACTCACGACTGCCTGCTTGCAAGGCAGGTGCTTATGCTGCTGAGCTAAATCCCCAGCCCCATCTTGCCCCAAACCTTATTGAGATAGAGACTGTCATTTTATATAATTCATATAAGGAAAAACTGAGGCACCAAGAAACCTGAATGTGGTCTCAGATCTCTGGAAGGTTAAGCAGAGGCTGGACCCCAGGCAGACTCTGAAATCCCAGCTTTTTGTGCACGTCCCTCTGCCTTCAGTTCGGTGATTCACCCATCCTGGCTTCCTAGGTTGCTGCACCCTGTGGCCCTCCAGCAGGCTCTGGCCCTTGATTCTGGTTGAGCCTTCCTGGGCTCCAGAGCCTCTGCTCCAGCCCCTGTGACTCTCTTGTCTCTTGACAACCTAGAGACAGCGGGCTCCCCAAGGGCCTCTCTCCCTGGCTGCTCATACTTGGTCAATGGGCTCTTCCCTCTTCCAGGTCTGGGAGGGCAGAGGGCAGGGGCTGTCCTGTGGCTGGCCCTCAGTCAGTTTTTCAGCTGATGGGTGACCAGCCCCACCTCTGTGTGTGTCTGCAGGAGCTACAGTGTGATGTGTCTGTGGAGGAGGACAGCCGGCAGGAGTGGACCTTCACCCTGTACGACTTTGACAACAACGGCAAGGTCACCCGTGAGGTGAGTGCCCCTGATTGGCCTCCTGCCATGCGCCAGGGCCTCAAGCACAGACACCCAGGTCAGCAGTGTTGTCCCTTGTGTTTGCTCTTGTGGGAAGGCTGTTGCAGGGAGGCGCAGAGGCAGAGACTGACAGGGGTGTCCTGAAGCTGTGGCAACTGGGGAGGGGTGGTGGGAAAGGGCAGCCAGACTCCCCCGTGCTCGGTTGGGCAGTGTCTCTGCAAGAAAAGGGCTGGGCTGCAGAAGGCCAGTGGAGTCTCGCCCTGCTTCTCTCGCTAGCACATCCTCCTGTCTAAAGCGAAGGCCTGGGCACCAAGGCCATGCAGCACCTCTGGGTGCAGGAGCACAGAGTGAGGATTTGTCACACCAGGTGCTCTTCAGTCACAGCTGCAGACATGGCTTTGCTCCCAGCCCTGTCCTCTCCTCCTGTCCCTTCTGCATGGCTGCATCTCTTCCCCTTGAAGCCCTCTCCCACAGCTTGTTTCCCTCTCACTTTTTTCCCATGCCTTTGTCTTTGAAAATTGAGTACCTGCTATGTGCCAGGCCCAAGTACATAGACATGTTTTCCTACGTTATGTTCTGAAATCTGATGCAGGAGGCAGAAGACAGTTATAGTATAACCATAAGCTGTGATGTGTCCTATGAAAGAAGTAACCGGGGTGGCATGACAGAGACTGGTGGGGCATCCTGGGAGACTTCTTGGAGGAGGCAGCCTAGCATTAGAGCTGAGCCACCAGCATGCAGAGCTGGGCAGAGTGGGCACCTAGAGAATGGAAGGAAGTGGTGTGGTGGCTACTTTGCAGCAGTGCCTCAGCTGTGGCAGGGACAATATTCTGGGCTTTGGAGGCCTGGCAGGCAACCTGGAGCTGATTGTAGATGCCAAGGGAAGTCACTAAGGTTTGGTATTCCTCTCTGCTCCTGTGTCTACTTCGTTACCATCTGGCATTATCTCTCTCCCAGAGGGCCCTCATGTGCAGCAGTGAGACCTGCTACAGATCCAGCGCTCTGTGCACCTGCACAAGGGTCTGTGCTCATCACTCCTGGGCTCCACACCTGCCTCTGGTCCTGCATTTGGACCTCCAGGTGTCCCAGAGACCCTGGAGCTTTGCTTTCCTCTCTCTACTCTGGGCCAGGGCCAGCACTTGCCTCTCTGTGATTAGTGTAGGAGGTTGTCTTTATGCTAGCCGAGGAGAGACCCAGGTTACAAAGACTACCTTTTCCTCAGGCTGTGGTTTAGGGGACATTAGAACAGGTAAGAGGAGGAAGCTGCCACTGGTAACCATTCCGGATTCTTTATCACGGAAGTGATAGAACCCCAGCTCAGCTGCTGTAAGTAACGACAGAAAGGAATACACTGGCTCAGGTACCTGAACCTCAGTCCAAGGCCCTGACATTTGGTATGGCTGGGTCCAGAGGCTTGGTGTCTTTGGGACTAAGTGTTCTTCAGGGATTTCTTTCTGGTCCCTTTTCATCAGGCAGCCTCTCCCCCTGGCAGTAGTAAGATGATTATTGCCAGTTTTAACCTGGGTCTCACCCTCCCACCAACTTCCCACACTCAGAAGGTCAACTTCTTGCCTGCAACCAAATCTCACCAGCTCCTCAGACAGCCTGGCTAGGCTTGTCATGGTGCAGTGGCAACTCCATTCCTTGCGACATGGGCAATGGTGAAGATGCCTCGGCTCCTCACAGCTGCCTTCTTCATGCCTTTGTGGGTCCCAAGATGCTGAGGAGCCTCGTGTGTGTGCTCTGCACCATGGAGACCTTGAAGAGACCTGTGGGCAGATATTGCTTGCAGATTTTGTGGCCTGTTCGTCTTTAATGGACCTGTTGATGAAAATGAGGAAGGGAAGCTTTCTAAAGGAGGTGGCCAAGCCTGGGCCTGGAGCAAGTGCTTTTTGGATTGTGTTTTCCTCTCAAGTGGGGACAGGAGGATTGCTTGGCTTCCTGGAGGACCCAGTCTGTGTATCCCCTGGCTTGTTCTTAGTCCCACAGCCACTTCTCAAGCCTGGTTTTAAGTTCTGTTCCCTTCGACTTTTCTAGCTATGAGCAGGCAGAGCTGTGTGCCGGGACAGGTAGGATCCCATCTCCCTGGGTCAGCAGCCCTGAGCTGGTGTCCAGGCCAAGTCTCCAACTCACCCTTTGGGGTTTCATTCACACAGGAAGTACTTCTAGGCTCCTGTGTTCACTTCCTGTTACCTAACAGATACTCAACATGACCAGCTTACTAAGAGAAGAGATTTACTGTGGCTCACAGTTTGGGTTGGCCCTGTCGCCTTTGGGGCTGTGGTAGGGCAGCGCATGCCAGCAGGAACTAAAAGAGAGAGAGAGAGGAAGAGACTAGGATCTCACAATCTCCTTTGGGTCATGGTCCCCTGTAACTTGAAGATCTCCCATGACACCCTTCTTCCTCAAGGCTCTACCACCTTCCAGCAGTGCCACCCGGGAGACCATGCCTTTACCACGTGGACCTCTGTGGGAATATTCGAGATGCAAACCATAGCAGCAGCTGCTCCCATGTGCCTGGCCCTCTGTAGTCAGAGGGGTTGGTTTTCATGCAGGAATTGAAGGGCATGCCTGCAGGTTGGCCCCAATCAGTCAGAGCCTCCTGAGATCCCAGAGCAGAAGCCCAGGCCTTCTAAGGCAGGTGGGGCTTGGAGGATGCTATTGGTGGACCCATTGGCCATCTGTCTGATACCACTTCCTTCATGAGCTTCCAGTATGGGCAGTTTGGCTATGCAGAGCTCCAGGGAAGGAAAAGAAGGGAGAAGAGGAGTCTCTGGGCCTCACCGGCAGAGCTGGGATGGTCAATCCAGGAGTGGGCAAGCAACTGGAGCCTGGGTTTCAAACTGGTGACCAACACAATTCAGTCTGGCCCCCACGTGTTCTGGTCTAGACCTCCAGGGGGTTTCATTAAGATTTAAATTAGATACCAATATCAGTGGTTAAGATTTCACAGAAGATTCTGGATTTCTGGCTTCCCTGAGCTAACTCTCAGCCGACAATCAGAGGACAATCAGCTGAGCTGTGTGGCTAGCAGGTACTCAGCACCCCACACCCTGAGCCTCTCACTACACCTGCCTGGTCATGGCAGCACTGGTGTCACCCCTGCTCTTCAGCTCCAGGGCTGAGTCTGAGCCCAGGAAGAATCGCTAAACAGACAACCATCCACAGACCTCATGGAAAGAGAGAGAATGTCTTTTCCAAAAGTTTCAGTGTCACTTAAAGTAGGAAGCTGCCCTCAGATCAGTGACCTGAACAGATTCCTAGACCCAAGAGAGGCCTAGCCCTGGGACCTGTGCTCCCAGTTGGAAGACTGAGACACCTCGTGGAGGAGGATTAAAGACCCCTGCTCTGGGTAGAGGTCACTGAGGCCGCAGAGCAGGTGAGATGCAGCTGGGTTCTCACAGACCAGTGGGTCTTGAGAGTGACCTAGGCTACTGTGCACCCATACCAGGGTACTTCTTGGGGTTCGGAAGTTTGGCATCCAAGGTGGGCACAGCCACAGATTTGGTTCCTGGCAAGGGCTCCCTTGCCAGCTGTCAGGTGGTTGCCTTCTCTGGTGTCTTATAAGGAAGGAGGTAGCTGTGCTGTGTCTTCCTTTCTTATCAGGCCACCAGCCCAATGAGACGAAGGCCTACTTTGATGACTCATTTAACCTTAATTACTTCCTGCCTCCAGCTGCAGCCAACTTACGACCTCAGCATGAGCATTTGGGAAGGGTGCAATTCCAGCATAGTCAAGACACACCTGCTTTTAAAACCAGGTGTCGCTCAGGAGGTGCTCTTCAGACCTGCTGGTGCCCCGTCCCACACTCTCTGGGCCTATTGTTGAATCTGCTAATTGCTATAGTGGACAGTGACCTCCACAAGCCCTTTCTGGTGCAGGGAATTGGCTCAGCCCCTGAAAGCGCAGGGGCATAACATCCTTGGAGCTCCTCTCTGCTGGTGAGGGATGGGCTGCTTTGTAAACCTGCCACATCTGGTGAAGCTGCTGAGACAGGTTGCACACCTGCCCTCAGAGGGCCCCAGTGACACCAAATTCCTAAAGCCCATGACCATAACCTGTTCTCTTAGTTTTTCCCTTTGCTCCTCTGCTCCCCCATCCCTGCTTCCTAAGATCTCCCAAATAAATTCCCACATCCAAATCTTTCCCTTAAGCTCTGCTTTAGGGTAGAATGGGGCTTCAGCCCATCTGAATGAAGCATCGGTCAGACCCTGTGTGCTGTGTTGGAGATGCTCTGTGGCTGAGGCTCAGGATGGGCTTCCTCCCCACCCCCTGTGCAGGACATCACCAGCTTGCTGCACACCATCTATGAGGTGGTCGACTCTTCCGTGAACCACTCCCCGACGTCAAGCAAGACTCTGCGGGTGAAGCTCACTGTGGCCCCAGATGGGAGCCAGAGCAAGAGAAGCACCCTTGTCAACCAGGCTGGTGAGAGCTGCGGGATCTAGGCGGTGCCCCTCCCACCCTGTGCCCCCCCCATCTCAGGAAGGACCAAAGCCTGCCTGGGAGGTTGGTGGGCCGTGGGGCTTCTGCAGGCAGCTGCTTGTGTTCAACAGACCCTTGGCGGAGGAGGGCAGGCCAGAAAAGGCAGGGAGGTGGGCATGGGTGTGGTCAGAGGTCACAGTGAAGTCTTGTGTTTGTGGGGGCACGGGGGAGTTAGGGGTAGGGCCTCAAAGAGGAGCTATGGGGGGGTGGATTGGCAAGTAGGTGGGAGCACGCTGCTCACTGGTGATTCTTGTGCTTGTTGGGCGGAGCTCAGACTTGCAGAGTGTGAGGCCCAGAGCAGAGACCAAACCTGCTGAGGAGCTTCGAAGTTGGGAGAAGAAGCAGCGAGCCCCGCTCAGGTATGGCAGGTGTGGGCAAGGGCGGCAGCTGGTACCTGCAAGCACGTACAGGGTGAGCTCAGCCCTTTCTTCTGAGGGATGCTGAGATAGAGGCCCTATCTGGGATCTCTGCAGGGGACCAGTAATTTCAGATGCTCAGATTCAGAAGTCAGAAAATTTTTAAAAAATACCCAGTTGAAGGTTCCCATCGACTGGCTGTTTTCTGGATTCATTTGCTAGTGATCCTGGTGCACTTATCCTGCATTACAGGGGGCCTGAGTAGTGCCTGGAGACCACCATGGGGTGTTCTTACTGGAGATGTGTCTATATTCACTCAGAGAGACGAAGACCTTGGGCCAGTGGTACTCATGTTATTTTTCTCTGGGTTTTTTTTTTTTGTACCAGGGATCAAACTCATGACCTCACACTTGCCAGGCAAGCACTTGTGCCTCTGAGCTAAATCCCCAGTCCTTCATGTTATTTTTCTCTTAAGATAAAATGTTAACATATGGGGTTTTTTTCTAAACTAAAACTTCAGTATTCAGGTTGAATTGCAGTGTGGGCACTTTGCAGTACACAAGTGGGTTTGGGTTACGGTTTGGGCGCTCAGCTCTCACGGTTTGCCATCACTGCCCTAGACATTCTGCCTCCTCCAGGGTGGCTTGGATGCTCAGTAGTTAAAAAAACATTCTCTTTTCGGGCTTTGGGGTTTTAGACTTGTGGTAAGAACTTGAGAGGCATCAAGTAGCTGTTATCACTTTACCTGCTGTGGGTAGGGGAGGCCTAGTTAAAGAGAAAGCAGTGAGAAATTGAGGAACGCTGTGTGGCAAGTTTGGGGCTGTGTTCACACCCTGTGAGCAAGCAGCGAGGAAGCCACTGGATCTAGGCAGGGGCTGAGATGGGCACAGTGCAGAGGCATGTGGAAGGAAGTCAGGGAGGTGACGCAGATCACGGATGTTCTTGGAGGTGGTAAGGGAGCCTTTCCTCCAATCCTCATGCGTGTGTGTGTGTGTGTGTGTGTGTGTGTGTGCAGGGAGAGAGCAGGGAGGGCCTGTGCTGGGCTTTGGGGGATGTCAGAAGCCTGCCAGCCTCCATTCCAACTGTTTATGGTTTTCTGCCGTGCACCCTCCTTGGGGAGCTAGGCCGTGGGTGGGCCATCTGCCTATGGTGGGCACATGTGGTTTGAAGCTTGGTTTTTGAGCATCCTCACATTTTGACCAATAACCCATCATCTTTGCTTTGGGTCTGTTCAGAGCAAAGTTCCTGTTCACGCCTCTCAGAAGTGCTGGGAAGGCCAGGCAGTGGGTTGTGTCTTAGTGTGCAAGGGTAAATAGAGCTGCAGACTGAGATGTTTATTCCTCCTCTGCTACCCTGCAAGACCTAGAAAGGAATGAATGGAGACTGTGCCTTTGCCCTGGTGGTGTCCTGGCACTTGGGGCCAGCCCCAGTCACTTGCCTTCTCCACCACAGGTTCCAGGGTGACAGCCGCCTGGAGCAGTCTGGCTGCTATCACCACTGCGTGGATGAGAACATCGAGAGGAGAAACCACTACTTAGATCTCGCAGGGATAGAAAACTACACATCCCAGTTTGGGCCTGGTGAGGTCCCCTCTTGGGGTCAGCTGGGAGGGTTAGGGCTGGACAGGCTGGACCAACTGCCTGGTGTGGTAACCCTTTCCCTGGGCTCAGTGGAGGTGTGACTTTTATTGAGTAGATTAGAGACTACTTGAAGGAGGTAACATTTTTAAACATTTTCAAAATTAAAGTAATACATGCGTAAAGTTGAACAGTATTCAAGGGCTTGGGATATAATGAAAACCAGCAGCTCCCCACCACCACCACACCCAACTCTGTTCCCAAGGTGACCGCTCTGACCCCTCACAGCTGTTGCATCCAGAGAAACACTGCTCTGTCAGCCTGCCACGTCCGTGGACTCTTGCTAAACCTCACTCCCCTCACTCCTTCCCTTCCTGGGTTTAATTCTCTGGGAAATAGAATTCCTCTTGCCCACAGACCTTAGTTATCAGTGTCTCTGCCAATGTCTGTCTTGCTCAGCTCTCTCAGAGAATCGTTTTTGAAGACCTACCGCAGACCTACCAGTTCTCCCTGTTAGCAGATAGGAAAGGTCATCCCAGAGAGCTGTCCACCAAGGCAACAAAGGACAGACACACTGGGGTGTAGCTCCGACGAGGAGCAGCTGGTGTTACCGGTCTTGGTGCAGTGAGGGCAGGGTGACTCCTGAAGTTCTGCTCCAGCACACAGAAAGTGCTCATTAAATGTCTGTTGACTTGCTTCCTAGGCTCCCCTTCAGTGGCCCAGAAGTCAGAACTGCCCTCCCGCACCGCCAACCCTACTCGATCTCGCTCCCACGAGCCAGAAGCCATCCACGTCCCACACCGGAAGTCCCAAGGTGCGGACCCAGGCTCCTTCCACTTCCTTGACACCCCATTTGCCAAGGTCTCGGAGCTCCAGCAGCGGCTTCGGGGCACGCAGGATGGGAGCAAGCACTTTGTGAGATCCCCCAAGGCCCAGGGCAAGAGCATGGGTGTGGGCCAAGTGGCCAGAGGGGCCAGAAGCAAACCCCCTCTGGCACCTGCTGTCCCTACCGTGCCCTCCTCTGCCCACCTGGCTGGCAGTCCAGCCCTTCTCCCCAGCCTGGCGCCCCTGGGGCACAAGAAGCACAAGCACCGAGCCAAGGAGAACCAGCCGGGCTGCCGGGGCCTGCAGGCACCACTGGCCACTGGGAGTGCCGTCTTGGGACGGGAGCAGGTGAGGGAGCTGCCCGCCGTGGTGGTGTATGAGAGCCAAGCTGGGCAGGCGGTCCAGAGACATGAGCACCACCACCACCATGAACATCACCACCATTACCACCACTTCTACCAGACCTAGAGCCTCACCAGGGCCTTCCGCCATATGAAGGACCCTCCCTGACACCCCAAGGCATTATTATTCTATTAATTATTGTTATTATGATGATTATTGTTATTAATAATTATTGTTACTCCACTAATATTTAGGTAGCCTTCATGTAGGAGATATATGGAAACACAGAACTAAACTTTAATTTATATGTGGGACTGTGTAACTTACCTGAGAACTGACTGTGGGTTGGGACTGCAGCCACAGGAGCCCCCAGCCCCAACTCCGCCCCCCAGTCTCTTCCAGGAGAACCCCTTTCCCCTGTCCAGCTTCGAGGCCCTCAAATCTCCAATAAGACAAACAGCTGCTACCTCTTAGTTCCTCCAATTCAGTTTTGCCCTCACCTGATTGCATTGCGCTCCCAGGGATTTCAGCGGACTACAGATGTGCGACCTCCTTGCTGTTGTTTTTATGTCGGAACCTTAGCTGTCCTTTCTGGAGTCACCTTTCATGCCTTTCCAGTGGAATCATGCTCCTTGCCTCAAACCAGCCTCAGCTTTTTTGCCATGTGCAACACAAAAATACACTTCTCCTTCTCCTCTTTCTCCTTTCTTCTTTCAAAGATGCACACAGGTTAAGGACCGTCCCTGTAACCATCCACTATGCTTCTCATTTTGGAAACTGCTGGGGAAAACCAGCTACATAAACAAGCAGGTTTTCCAGGATCAAGCAATTGTGTGGTGTTGGTTGTGACTGAGCATATGGAAATGTGGTGTTTTAACATTAGCAAGCACATACCTACGTGGTTCTTGGCAGCTTTCTGTGCTTTAGGTAGATGCTGCTGCCTGTGTCTCTGTACCTTTTCATAAATATGCTCTCAGGTATTTTTGCTGATGTGCAAGACTGAAGGTCTGCTTCTCTGGGTGTTTCCTGAGTCCAGATGTGACCATGTGTGTTTGCTGATGGGGCTGATGTCCATCAGATACAAATAGCCACTTGCCTCTCCTCGAAGGACCTTTCTCAGGGCTTGGGGTCTGCAGATTTGAAGAGACCTGTTAGAGTGTAGAAGCTCAGAGGACTGCGGACGGTGGTCCGAGTTAGGATCCTGAGTAACCATCTTCCACAGAGTAGGGTTTCGTGTAGCCAGGGCCTGGGGAGACCAGGAAATAGACTACTATTAACCATAAAACTGATTCCATACTCAAATTGGGTAATTTGAGGAGAGTTGAATAAAGGGTTATTGCCAAAGTGTCTTCAGAACCTCAGGATGGCATTGTGGTGGGCTACTCTAACCCCTGGGCCTGAGGTGGGCCATCTTCCAAATTGGGCTGGGCACTGAGGACACCTGAAGGAGCCATGATCTTTGCTCAAGGGATGCATCCAGCTATGGGGACCTGCCAGGGAGACAAACATCCTCGCCCTTCTCTGCTCTGAGTCCTGGTGAAGACATTTGCAGCCAGGGGACCAGGGAGCTTGGCAGTGTGGGTCTTCAGAGCAGTGAATCCAGATATCAGCTGCCCTCAGCTGCCCTCTTTTTCTGCTGCACTGTCCCCTGATTGGGACCCTTGAGCTAAATTAATGTAGTTAGCAAGCAGTTATTTCTGAAGGTAGCGAGTTTGAGTTGTATTCTGTGAGATACATCAGTACAGGACCTCCCTACAAGACAGGCCGCGCAAGGTCAGGGAGTGTGTCTGTAGCTCAGAGAGGGTAAGGCATTCTTTGGAGACCACATAGGAGGTAGTAGTGCTGGGATTCTAGTCTCCCGTAGGATCCCTTAACCACTGTGTAGGGTGTAACTCTATCCAGTCAGGATCCACCTCAAGTGAGGTAAATATACCCAGACTAGCAAAGGAGGGAGCTGGCTTGAGATAACAGGATCCAGGTATGAATGAAGCTGGGGCTTGGTTTTGTCTTTCCCTCTCTGGCCTCCCTGTGTCAAGCCCTGGCTGTGGAATCCTGGGTCCCACAGCAGAAGGGAAGGTTCTTTTACTAGAGAAAAGCCCTGCAAAGACACGAATTGGTTTAGACCATCCCTGGATCAGTCACCATGACCTGTCGGGGGTCACACATCCACTGGTGGCAACACCAGCCACAGGGAGGGGTGCTGGGCAGATGCGGATTAATGGCTCCTAGGCCCAGAGTGCCATGGCAGTGGAGCCCAGCCAGTGTTGGACTTGCTGGTGTCAGAGCAGTCAGCCTCAGAGGAGGTCACTGCCCCCTCCTGCCCCACCCTTTGAGGGTTCTATTTTTTGTTGGGAACTGGGATGTCCCCAGCTTCTAAAAATCACTTACTAAGTAGTGCTGTGTACATGTGAGAGATTCAAATAGTATAAAAAGTGTATAGTAAAGGTCAACTTGCCCCTGTCCCAGCCCACCAGCATCCTGATGCTGGCTTCCTGGGGCCTTCTGGCCTTGCAGGTGTGGGTGCTGGTTGAGAGGACAGTCTCTGGTGCCTGGGTTCAAGGCCCGGCACTCTCTCCACAGCCGTGCCTCCGTGTCCCCTTGGCAAGCACCATCAATGTGTCAGCCATCCTTCATTACCAGAATAAAAGCATGTGTGTAAGATACATCCCCATATAAATTTTGTAATTTTAAAACATTCCACACACAAAATTTGAAACGCAAAATTGTATAACAGTAACTAAACACACCACCTAGAGTTTACAAATGCTGATGTTTTGCGGCATTAATTTTAGATCTATTTTTAAGAAAGAAATCCCTGTAGTTACTGCCTAATCCCCTTCCCACCCCACCCTTTTATTTTTACTCAAGGAACAGCATACTATTCATACTTGTGCCCTTTTTCTCTGCAACCTAATATATCTGGAGATCTTACCCCTCGGTCATGGAGCTCTGCCCCCTTCTCCTAACAGCTGTTCTGCCTTCTCTTGCTTAGAGGCACTGTCCCCTCCTGGAGGCCTGTGAGTCATCTCTCGTCCCACGCTCTGACACACACCCTGTATGTGAGGGCCCTTGTATATGCCTTGCCTCCCTGTGCACTGGCAAGAGGACCGGTGACAGAAGGCTTCGACACAACGGCCATTTCGATGCTATTGTAAGTGACCTTTGGAAGTGGTTGTATGACATTAGAAATTGAAACAAGAAGAAAGAAGATAAAAGGGAGGGAGAAAGGGCAAGGAGGTGAGGGAAAGCAAGTGAGGGGTAGCCATGTGAGGTTTTGAGCACAGGCTCCTGCAGGCCACCGTGGACAAGAAGTATGATCTTGTTTTAAAGCTGACCCCTGTTCCCGAGAACAGGTGCTGTTTCTGAGCCTTGAACTCAGCATCATGAGGGTCCTGGGGTATGGAGAACATGCAAGGAGAAGGACTTGCTGGCTGTGGGCACACATGCACATGGCATTAGCTGGTTGGCTGCAGAACAACCCATATTTCTGCTGTGTCACTGGGTGCTGAGACCACCAGAAACCAGGGCCTGCTTTCCTCTCCCAAGAGGCTGGGGTGGGAGAGCTCATGTGCAGCATGCCAATAATACTTTTCAGCAAAGCAAACAGCCAGGAGGAGTTGTTTTTTGGAGGGGGACATTCCCTCCTTTTCTCGCAGTCAAATCCCAAATTATTGCTGGGCTAGAGAAAAGGTGATCTCAGAGGTGCAGGCCTGCCTGCACCTCAGTACTGGATGTGGCACATTAATTACCCAGCTGCTGCAAGGCCTGTCCGTACCATGGGGCCCTAACATGTGCTCAGAGCCAGCAGGCTGAGAATGCACCCTCAGCTCCTGGAAGATGGGGCTGCTGGCCATGCAGCAGATGCCCAGGCATGTACAAGGGTGAGTTTTACAGAGTGAACATAGATGGGTCAGCCACCAGCTTTATTGACTCCTAAAAGCCATGCCCAGGGCCCCTTTCCAAGGCATCATACTTTTATCACATTGCACAGTCACAGCTTTGGGGGGTGGGGTCGGGTCTGGTGCTTGGTCCCATCATCTGCCACAGCAGCAGACCTTTGAACCTAACTAAGCCTTCCCTCAGGGCTGCCACCTTCCAGTGACTTTCCTAGTAGCGTAGAGCTTCCCAGACCTTGCATCTCCTCCAGCATGAGGAGAGGCATGAGCATGAGCTGACTCAGCAGGAGAAGTCCTGTGGAGGGACTGGCAGAGCCCAGCTTTGGTACCCATCCCCAGCTAGCTAGTCACGTAGACAGCATCCTCTTTCCCCTGCTTCTCCAACTTAAAACAATCCTATTAACCCATAACCTTGGCAGAGACAAGAGGATCCCTCCTCCACCAGTGACCCCCAGGCAAAGTTTTGGCCCATGCCAGCCTGTTGGCAGGGGTGGAGGCAGGCAGAGCCCAGTGCAGTACAAGGAGGGTACTTTTGATGCACTCCTCACTCCCAGAAAAAGGTGCTGCAGTTGGGCCTAAAGACCACACATGGCCTAATGACCCACAGGGCCCGCGCCTTGGCACAAGCAGGGTGGTGGCCCAGGGGCTGCCTCAAGGAGGATGAGCACTAACTGGTACAGGAGACAGAGCCCTGCCCTTCCTGGGAACCCAATACTATATGGATGTTGGAGCAAATGGCCATGATGGCCAAGAGACAAGACTAGAGAATCCTGTAACACACCCCTGCCCTTATCCTATAGCCAACAGCCCCCTAAGAGAGCCATATTTACTGAGACTGACTGTCCTCCACCTAGGGTGATCTGAGTGAGCTGTTGTGCAGAGACCACACAGTCTCTGCCCTCCCTGGCTCTCGGGAGACAGGCACAAATTCTTGAAAACCTCACTCTCCAACCTTCACACGTGTCCTCAGGGCCCTGGACCAAGGCCAGCCTGGAGAACTGTGGTCCTACCTTTTGCAGAGCCCACTTGGTTGCAAGCTTGTGGAGTCCGGCTCTGCCACCATGAGGCGCTGCTGCGGGGTCACATCTGAGGGCTCTTCCTCAGCTCCCCGTCTGCAGGGAGAGAGATGTGAGGAGAGGATTAGAGTCTTTAAGGCTAGAGTACAGGTTCCTTGAGGAACTATCAGGGCTCCAGAACAAGCCTGAGAAGAAGTCCAGGACACCCTGGATGTCACTCAGATCTCAGTGTGAGCCACAGAGAAGGACCAAGAGCGTGGAAAGACTTAGCCTTTCGCCACTTGAACTCTGACCTCCACCTACACCACCAAAGCAATTTTTTCTAGGCATTTCTGACTGCAGCTTTCCAGATGCTTCTGTCAAGGCTGGCGGCCTGCTTTTCCTTTCCCAACAAGGCCTCACTTCCTAGAGCTGCCCTAGCTGGTAACTGGGTAGAAGCGGGCAGGCGGTGGGAGGATTGGATCCCCAGTTCTGGCGTTGCCTTTCTCCTGGTCTGCTAGGTCCCTGCAGGCAGGGGCTTCGGAGGCAGTGCTGTTTCCTTAGAGTACGCACTTAGTAGACAGTTGATAAGTGGAAGGGAGGTAGGAGGGAGGGACGGAAGCGTTCACACCTCTGACTGTCCATGCATGGCATCCTCCTGCCTGTGTGTCCAGGAACATTTCAAATAAAATTTTGGGAAAGCAACACATTGCCAAGTTTTAATTTTGCTAAATAAGGGAGTTAATGACAACCAAAAAGAAAAAAGGAAAACAAGAAAATGGGGGAGAGGGAACCCTACAGTCTTGTATTATTTTCTTCTTTTTAAAGGAAAGCTGTCACTTTGCTTTATTTAAAAGGAAAAGATCTTTATTGTGTTTTCTTAGGTTTTTTCCCCTGGAAACCAATGAAAATTGTGATCAAATATTCATTGTGGTTTTGAGTAACTTGTTGTGGAAGGGCAAGAATTCCTCCCTTTGTAGAAATTAGAGAACTAAGACTCCAGGCGGGGCATGTGTTCCAGATGGACATTTGTCCCCAAAATAGCCCAGACCAGCTCACAAGCCTCTTCCAGCCTATGGCCTCCGCTGCCTGCCAAAGACCATCTGGGGAGGGAGCATCCTGAGCCTCAAGCGTCAGACCAGACCAGTGTTGCTCAGCACCAGGCAAGGCCTGCCCGACCACAGTCCCTGGAAGCTGTGAAGTGTGGAGCTGCCCCTCCTGCCCTTTCCCGTTCCCTGCCTGTGTCTCGCTGCCTCTGCGAGTCAGCTCCGAGTGTTGGCACCGTACCTAGCGTTACCCACTGGGTAATGTGTGACCTATCGTGGTTTTAGTCATTTTGAATGAATTTCCAAAGTCTAGAGGTTTCACCTAAAAATCTAGATTTGAGGCTTTTTGTGTAAAAACCAGAAAATGAGATCACATTTTCCGATCAGGCTCACATTTCCACATAGCAGCAATCTGTGGGAGCCAAGGAGTACCCACACTTTCAGATAGCACACATCCCACCACCTGTCCCCCGTGACCCCAGCCTCCCTCATCCTGGGGGTCAGCTGTGCCAGTAGAAAGCAGCCTGTTGAAGGGAGACTTTTAGAGAGGAAAAGGGCCAATGGGTGTTGCAAGCATAGAAGGCCTTTGGAGGAAGCCTCTAGGGGCAGCCTAGAGACCCTCACAGCATATTCCCCTTTATCCTGCCCCACATTCTGTAAAGTACTAAAGTGGGTAGACATTTCCAGCTCCAAATATTCGTTGGTTCCCTCTGGCTGTGCAGTGGCCTCACCTCCTAGGCTCAGTTTGCTTCTCTGTAAAGTGGGCCTATGAAAGCTTATGTGGCTTCAGTAAGGTGGGGAACATGAAGGAAAGTCTTATGCTTGGAACACTGAATGAAAGGCACCACCCTAAGTTCCCTTGGAGTGGGGAACAGGAAGGCTGCCAATTTGGTGGTATTCAAGGTGGGCAGCAGGGGACCCAGCAGTGCCCTGTCCACCTTAGACACTGGCGGCAGCTCCTACAGACACAGGAGGATCTGGCTCTAAATTATCTGGACCTGACATCCCAGATCTTGCATGTTTAGATTCGATAGAAGTTTGGAAAGTGGCAGGAACCAGGAGCCGGACCACAGTATTCAGGCTCAGGGCTCAGTTAGGGTGGGTGGAATGGCCCATGATTGGCAGTAATGACTTTAGACCCTAGTTCTGCTCTTTACCAGCTGTGTGACACTGGATATGGGGCCTGACTTCTCTGTGCCTTGGTTTCCCTCTCTGTAACGTAGCTCATCAGAGTACCTACCTCACAGAGCTGATGTGAGGACTGGATTAAATGTGCGTGGAACATTCCGCACACTGCCTAGCACATAGTAGGATATCTACCAATGACAGCTCTGTTGGGGGATTGTACCCCTGAGGGATTTGGGAAAAGATGTTCTCCTGAGGAATTGAGGTGCCTGCCGCATTGCGGCTTCAGAGAGAGCCCCCCATGAGGCAGCTTCCCTGTGTGTCCTTTCTGCTACATGCTCAGGGCCACTCCATTGTCCTGTTGCTCTTCTCTCCCAAGCTCCAAGGGTCACTTCCTTCCTTCCAGACTGGATTGGAAGTGTGGACCTGACAAGCTCCTGTCCTCTTCTAGGACCTAACTCCTGCGTTTGCACATGAGCCCATCCCCGGCTCGGAGTTTGTCCCTGTGACTGACCATTCTGAGCTCTTTATAAAGAGGCAGGGCAGTGGTGGGAAGCACAGCCTACAGCCTTCTCCTTTGGGGGAGAGGAGGCCCTGGGAACCATCCTTGGTCGCCCTTCTTCTGTGTCCTTGCCCTCAGGGACTCAGCCCAGAATTGCAGAGGAGTCTAATCATTGAATCTCCCACTTACGGAGCAGTTACTGTGTGCTCAGCCAGTGTTCCTGATACCCTCAGAACAGTGCTCTGAGGAAACGAACAAGGAAGCTGAGTTATAGTCCAGACAACTAGTTACCTATCCTGTTGGTAACGCATGGTAGGGCTAAACACAAAATGTGACACTTGCCCAAGAGACAAGCCATTAGCTACTGGATCCAGGCTTCTAATTAGCCCCTGGGCATTGACAAAGACCAGCCAAAGTCAGTCTTGCTCCCTGGGCCACCAAGTTCAGGACAACATGAGGGAGCAGAGCCCCAGTGGAGAGGCATGCTGGCCTGGCTGAGGCCCAGTTTCTCAGGGTGCCTGGTGGTCCCAGCATTCCCAGTGCTGGCCATGTTTGTGACTACGTTTGTGCTTATCCACCTCAATGGTTATGATCCCTGAATTTGCCTTGAATCCTGAATTAATTAGCAAACACCAAGCCTTTGCTCCCGAGGGAGATTCGGGGTGACATTTCTGCCAGCCTCTGGTCTCCGCCGTCATTAAGCAATTGATGCAAACTCCTGTTTTGTGTGTTGCTGTATAAAGTCACCCTATTCAATGGATATTGTTCCATTTGCATTGAACACAGCCAACAGCTCTATCTCACAGGCCTGAACAAAGCGCGTGGAACCCACGTAGTTTCTCCATCAGGCACATCACAGCCTTCTGTGCTTGGGGACACCGGGCGGCTCTTTTCGAATGAGGCTGCGAAATCATCAGCGCAAAGCTCAGTGGCATTAAATAGACCGTGAAAAGGACATTTGTTTGCAAGAGGAGCGCTGGAATGAGAAAGCCAAGCATGGCCTTGTTCAACCTCATCCCGGAACGTGCAACCCAGCGATTCAAAATTCCTGCTGCTCTGCATGGGTCCATGAACAACCACAGAAACATGGCAAACATTGATTTCAGAGTTACAGATAAATCTGAGAAAGTAGATAGATTGACAAGCACAGCCCTTGCGAATAATGAGGATCCACTCTACAGCCCTGTCACCGCCTCTGATGATTTGGTTTCCCCAGGCACTGTCTCGTACAACCGAAGGCCCAGTGCCGAGAGCTGCTTGTGAGATGCCTGCTGAGCAGCTGAAGTACACACTCTCAGCTCCTCGCCTGTGGCCCACAGCCAGGCACAGCATGTGGCCTGCTGTCATACACAGGGCATCTTTGGTGGCTGAGTTTGTAAACACAGACGGGCACCAGAGCCTCCCTCCCATGGGATCCTGGTACTCAGGCACATGAACAAAGTGATTCGACCAGCAGATAGGGACAGCAGTATTTGCATAGATGGAGAACTGGAACTCTGGGGACACTTAGGGCTCAAGAAGAAAGGGGTAACAGTGGGCTCTCAACACCAGGGTCTGGTGACTACGAGTGGCTCAGGTTTCCTCTCCAGGCCCCTGGTCATCTTAGACAAGGTCACCTGATTCCATTTCCTCTGACTCTGTCCTCAAAAACAGCATCTGATTGTGATTTCGTCCAGAAACTGGCCAAAGTGTTTCACCGTGACCTGTCTTTCTTCCCTCCCTTTCTTCCTCTCACCCTCCTTCCTCCCTTGTTTCCTCCTGGAGAAAGAGTTTGGCATTAGAGTATCTTGCTGTGCAATTAATTGTAGTAAGGCAGTCTCGGGTGTGACTACCCTTTGGTTACAAGGAACTTTAGGCAAGATTTGGGCAAAGTAAAAAATGGCCCAAGTTTGGCACTCACTGCTGAGAGGGGACCTGCGCTGGCCTTGCTGGCCTTTCACCAGTCCACACCACCCAACTACCTTTCTCCAGGGTCCTTTGTCCAATTGTACTTTCAAGTGCTTAGTGACCAACTACTATGTGTCAGAAGCCATACTCAACACTAAGCCAAATACTTTTAAGAATGAAGTACATCTTTTTGTGGAGCTTGCAGGAGTATGGGATTGAGGTTAGGGGTAGGAAGGAAACTCTCCAAGATGCACTTAGAAGGTTGAGGAGTTGACTAAATGGAAAGCTAGGGTGACAGCTTGTGCAGAGGCCCTGAAGTGGCATGGGGTGGACTTTGGGTTAACTGATGGAGGCCGGCAGGAAGATGTCCAGGGTCACCTCCAGGATCTGGAGGGTACAGGACACAGTTCGCTGATCACCCTGAAAGGCACTAACAAGTTGGAAAACCAGCAAGGGGACAGTGAGATGTTGGAAATGGGCTTAGAAGGACAGTTCTTATTGTAGGATACAATGGACTCAACCAATAGAAGTTATTGGTGACCTTTGCCCCTTGAGAGCCACTTATTTGTCCAGACCTGGGATCAGCAGGTCTTCCCTGCTGTTGACATCTTCTCAAGTGGGGAAGGAGCCAAAAGGAAAAGAGGGAGAAGGGAGCGCCAGGGAGGAGGAAGCCTCCCTTTTGCCTTGGGTAATTGCTGAACTGGCACTCAGAAGGCAGAGCAGGAGTAAGTGACTTCGGTCCCTCTGCCGGAGGCGGGGAGAGGGGAGGCATGATATTGACTTAAACGTGGGGGATTTAAAAGGCCCCGATGTTCCCACTTATGCAGTGCTGCTCACAGACAGCGCGGGACCTTTGAAGTCGGCCTGGCCCAGTGGGGAGCGGGCTTCCGCGGAGACAAGATGCTAAGGGGGGCGGGGTACGGGGGCCGGGGCGGCCGAAACGCTATTAGGCATGCTCTAGCAAAAAGAAAGGCAAATCCAATGATAATGTACATCTGTTTCAGGGAATTTATAAGCTTTGAACATTTTTTATGGGCAGATAAGTGGGCCCTTTTCTTACCATAACTTAGAACTTCAAAGCTGAGTGTGTGGATAATGCAAATTGCTGAAATATGAGATTTTTCCTACAAAGAGGTTTCCAAAAA